ATAGTCCCTGCAAATTTGATTGTAAGTATACTCAGCTTAATTACCTATTTACCACGGTTTTTAAAATAATAAAATAGGTAAATATTCTTCAATCGTCACCAAATTTAACATACGTGTAAAATACATGTGGATATACCTTCTTTCCAAGTTTCATGTATATAGTTTAATTCTAAGTACATTTTATTGGTGATTGACCCGGGTCAACAAAATAAAATGAGCTATTTTGGGCGGTTTTTAGTTAATAAAATAAGTAACTATTTTTTAATTGTTACCAAATTTTACATACGTGTAGAATACATGTAGACATACCTTCGTTCCAAGTTTCATGTATATAGTTTAATTTTAAGTACCTTTTATTGGTGATTAACCAGGGCCAACAAAATAAAATGAGCCATTTTGGGCGGTTTTTAGTTAATAAAATATGTAACTATTTTTTAATTGTTACCAAATGTTACATACGTGTAGAATACATGTGGATATACCTTCGTTCCAAGTTTCATGTATATAGTTTAATTCTAAGTACCTTTTATTGGCGATTGACCCGGGTCAACAAAATAAAAATAGCAGTTTTGGGTGGTTTTTAGTTAATAAAATAGGTTAATAATTTTTATCGTTACCGGATGTCACATACGTGTAGAATACATGTAGATATACCTTCGATCCAAGTTTCATGTATATAGTTTAATTCTATGTACCTTTTATTGGTGATTGACCCGGGTCAACAAAATAAAATGAGCCATTTTGGGTGGTTTTTAGTTAATAAAATAGGTAACTATTTTTTAATTGTTACCAAATGTTACATAAGTGTAGAATACATGTGGATATACCTTCGTTCCAAGTTTCATGTATATAGTTTAATTCTAAGTACCTTTTTTAGGCGATTGACCCGGGTCAACAAAATAAAATTAGCTATTTTGGGCGGTTTTTAGTTAATAAAATAGGTAAATAAATTTGTATCGTTACCAAATTTCACATACGTGTAGAATACATGTGGATATACCTTCGTTCCAAGTTTCATGTATATAGTTTAATTTTAAGTAGCCTACCTTTTATTGGTGATTGACCCGGGTCAACAAAATTAAATGAGCCATTTTGGGCGGTTTTTAGTTAATAAAATAGGTAACTATTTTTCAATTGTCACCAAATTTTACATACGTGTAGAATACATGTGGACATACCTTCGTTCCAAGTTTCATGTATATAGTTTAATTCTAAGTATCTTTTTTAGGCGATTGACCCGGGTCAACAAAATAAAATGAGCTATTTTGGGTGGTTTTTAGTTAATAAAATAGGTAAATAAATTTTTATCGTTACCAAATTTAACATACGTGTAGTGGATATAACTTCGTTCCAAGTTTCGTGTATATAATTTAATTCTAAGTACCTTTTATTGGTGATTGACCCTGGTCAACAAAATAAAATTAGCTTTTTGCGGCAGTTTTTTGTTAATAAAGTAGGTAAATATTTTTTAATCGTCACCAAATTTAACATACGTGTAGAATACATGTGGATATACCTTCGTTCCAAGTTTCATGTATATAGTCTAATGCTAAGTACCTTTTATTGGCGATTGACCCGGGTCAACAAAATAAAATTAGCTTTTTGCGGCAGTTTTTTGTTAATAAAGTAGGTAAATATTTTTTAATCGTCACCAAATTTTACATACGTGTAGAATACATGTGGACATACCTTCGTTCCAAGTTTCATGTATATAGTTTAATTCTAAGTACCTTTTTTAGGCGATTGACCCGGGTCAACAAAATAAAATGAGCTATTTTGGGCGGTTTTTAGTTAATAAAATAGGTGAATAAATTTTTATCGTTACCAAATTTAACATACGTGTAGAATACATGTGGATATAACTTCGTTCCAAGTTTCATGTATATAATTTAATTCTAAGTACCTTTTATTGGTGATTGACCCGGGTCAACAAAATAAAATTAGCTTTTTGCGGCAGTTTTTTGTTAATAAAGTAGGTAAATATTTTTTAATCGTCACCAAATTTAACATACGTGTAGAATACATGTGGATATACCTTTGTTCCAAGTTTCATGTATATAGTCTAATGCTAAGTACCTTTTATTGGCGATTGACCCGGGTCAACAAAATAAAATTAGCTATTTTGGGCGGTTTTTAGTTAATAAAATATATAAATATTTTTTTATCGTTACCAAATTTTACATACGAGTAGAAAACATGTTTATATACCTTCGTTCCAAGTTTCATGTAAATATCTACATTCCAAGTGTTTTTTCTTCTTAATATATTGAATTTGTTGACCCGGGTCAACAAAATAGGGAGTCCCGTGAACCATAGCATGTACATTGAAACAAGACCCTTTTCTGCCCGTGCCTGTGTCTTGAAAGATAGGTACACCATTCTCTAGACAATTTAATCTAGTGTGCTTTCTAATTTTTTTAGTACGCCTCATACCACGTAGATTCTGTCCTAACAGTTATTATCGGTTCATAAAACTGACACGTAAACAACCAGCAGATTCATAATGTTTCAAGTAAGTGGGATATACCAGGACTGAGCCAATAATATTTCCTATAAAGTATCTATACCGTAGTACCTAACCTATAAAGTAATTTCATTGCCACAGGCAATGCTGATTCTGCTAATCATCTGTTTAAAAATTATAGAAGGCTAGGAGAGGAAAAGAAATGGGTAAAGCTGTTACGAGAACAACTTAACTTAACCCTTCGTCTTAGTAGGCTAGTCCAAAAGAAAAACTTGGTAGTCCTACCTCCTGAGGTAACTGTCTTAACAAGAAGATAACCCATGTCTAGATCAGTCTTATAGAAGAAGATAAATACAAGCCCAATCAGGGTTGGAAAGCTGATTAGCCTAGATATTTCTCAAAGTTTATCAAACGTATTCTGTCATTTTAAGATTAACGCCTAGCTACTAGTTTACCTAAAAGTGATCAAATAGCAGGAGTTTTTAGAAGATTCTAAGCCATGAAGCCAAGAAAGGGACCTCACTCAACAAACTTAATTTCGTGTAGTCCTCCACAAAGCTTAAAATGCCACATGCTTCTGGAGACACTCCCTGTTATATGAAGGACTGGAATGAATCCTTCCTCAATACTAGCATCTCAGCTGGACAAGTTGGATTCAGACTTGTGCGTCAGGCAAGTAGGTACAGAGCTACCGTACGTGAGTTTGGTGTTAGGTTGACAGTGACACTGTTTGGCGTTTGTGTGTGTATTATTATTTGTACGTTTTGTTTATAATAGAGAGAAGAGAATAGTAGAGAAAGAAAAGGACAACACGGGGAGTACGGAGTGGAACCAACGATCAAGTTTTACAATTGATAGAACGGTACCGTGAACGTACAGTAGCTTATATGGGACTATAAATTAATTAAAAAATGACAAACACACTAAAATTATGGTGGCGTTGTGTTGCAGGCAGAATGTGAGATACAATATGTCATTGTCCAAAACAAAAGTACACCATTATCTGTCAATTACTTGTCTTTGACTTGTGTTTGTGACTTGTGTTTGTGACTTGTAGTCTGTGACAAAAAGTCAATGACAATTCTATCACTGACTTTGGTGTAAACGCAGGGCCGGATTTCCCAATAGGCCCGGTAGGCCCGGGCCTATGGGCGCAAGGTCCCAGAGGGCGCACGGCCGAGAGGAAATTTTTTTATACTAGGCTATCTAAAAATAAAAATAAATAGTCAAAGTTGATAAAAAAAACTCCAAAGCATTGTGATTCTGAAGTTAATAAGAAGAAATAATATGTTAGGAAATCTAAACTATTTTTTCAGAATTACGCATCATTTTTGTTACAAAATTGGTAACGAACATTGGTTATACGGGAGTAGGCTGTAGGGATGTTGACGTTGACGAGCGCCCAAGGGGTACGCATCGTATTGCCACTATGCTGGCTCGGACTCGGCACGAGTGATTAGGGGCGCATGCAGACATTGTTACCATACCACCCTCACCGCACAAAACAAAAGTTATTAACTAATATTTTGATTAGTTTACACCAATCTGCAGGATCAAGTTAAAATATATAATACGTTGTGTTGAATATTAAAACAACGATAAATTTACCTTTAAATTTAACGAAAAAATATTAATTTCAGTTTGCATTAGATTTTAGAAAAATTCAATACCCTCCAAAGCACCATTAATGCTGTCATTTTCTCCTCAGACCTAAGGATCGGTATGGTTGGCCGGAATATTGCTCTGTTTTGCTTTGGAAATATATAACCTAGATGCAGTACGACCATAGATTAAATATAACTCCAAGTCGACTTCTTATGACTTCTTATTGTTAATTCAAACTTTTTTCATGTCTTGTACATGTTGGTGACACTAGACGTTAGTTTTGACGTAATTTTGTTTCTATTATTTTAGGGTTAGTTCTATAATGTGTGTTTTAATTTCTTATAATATAAACAGTAGATGAAATATTGTTGATGATTAGATCGTTTTATTTTGGAAAACTAGGTTTAAACATTGATAAAACATGCTCCTTAAATAACAAGAATTGTTTTCAGCTAATCCAAAATGATGACAAATCTACTTAAGGCATGTTTAATCTATGGTATCACGTACTGTATGGAGTTCATGTTTTTGGACCTGGAATTGGAATCAATGGCCATGTTTTTTTGCAGGAATGCTCGATGGGTTGAGTTGTTTTGTTTCAGTCCCATGGCCACAAACGTGAGCATTTATTAAAAGCATAAAATTGCTAAAAGTGTTTAAGACGGCATATTGTTAAGGCTAAACAAGTCAATTCTAAAAAAAAACTTGCAATGATTCCAACGTGGAGTGGTATTCAAGCAATTAACCTAGGCCTATGGGCATGATATAGTTTTTAAAGAAGGAAAGTAACTGCGTGACCAGACTAAAGGGGCGGAAAATTATTTGGGCCTAGGGGCGCAAATATGCTAAATCCGGCCCTGTGTAAACGCAGCTTATTGATAACATATTAACATTACTTCCATTACCATTGCTCATTATATATTTAACTTACCACTAGGTCTTCAGCTTAATTCCTAAATGAAGGAATTCAAAACGCTCAAAACTTGCCACCTACTCTGTCTCGTAAATTGGCATAAATAATTATTGCTCAAACGTTTAAAGTGGCCAACAGAGGTTTATGTTACACAGAACTCATATGTAATAATAGTAATATAATGTTAAGTTTTAAACATTTGATACTTTATCGATTCTTCTAAAGAATTATACAATAATAAACATGAACTTTGAGGTTAAGTTAGCTAGTTTACCTTTTACCAAAGCACCCAAAGCACAACTTGAAAACGGAAAGCACAGGCTTTTACAGTTTGATTTTGATTTGGCGGGTGGAAGAAAAAACTACTAGCGTCTCGAGCTCCTTGCGAAGGAGTGGGTTGTGTGACGTTACTCTCTTATCTTGAGGCAACACCATTGATTACCGCAACGATACGAAGTTTAGCCATCGGTGGACGGTGACCGTTGTGAAGTGGATAGAGTCACGGCCGCCTTTAACTCCAAACTCCGCCTTGACCTTCGAAGTGGCAACGTTGCAGGTAGGGTTTTAACAGCTGTTTTGTTTGGAAACAGCTAAATGGTATTTGTGTATTTACGAACGCTTGGTTAGTGGACTATGAAAATATTGACTCCGCTTTAAATGCACATAGGCCTATATAGATTTTCAATTCATATTATATTGGTTTTCAATTCTGTATGTTTTATTTTCAATATTTCAATAAATTTAAGTTCATAAATTTAAATTGAAATCAATCAAGTGCGAATTAATGAGCTATGATGTCACCTGTCTGCCATGTTATCTTATAGGACGTTTGACACTAAACAACGGGTCGCGTTCCGGACAGGCTCACGGGAGCAATCTGTGATGTTATATTAATGGTCCGTAGATCCATGACGTTATACTAATTATAAATTAACCAAAATTATTAAATTAAACTGTCATAATCTAACCTAACTAACCAAACTTGCTGATGGTTAAAAAAATCGTATGAGGGTTTAGTAATCTAAAAAAAGTTCTGTTCATTAAATAAAATAATAAATGCCTAAAATTCTAACAAAAGATGTACAGTTAAGAGTAATCGCATTCTAATCAAAAAATTTGACAAAAAGTTAGTGTTATCTGTGGGATTCGATCTGGTTACCACTTGGACATCAGCCGAGTATATGCTATCCACTACCCCACGAACACAGATGGCTTCACTTCGAATCGTTGCGGTAATGGTGTTTCCTCGAGAGAAGAGAGTGACGTCACGCCATGACAGCCAATAGAATTGTGCGTCACGGAGCGTCCCGTGAGCCTTGCATAAACTGGACCCCTAAACAATCCTACTTGCGTCGTTGCCAATTCTACCAGGCCGCGGCCTGGAGTTAAAGGCGGCCATGGATCAGAAATAAAACAAATAATTTATGAGTTAAAAAACAAGATAAGCTCGGGAGCTGATGAAATGCCATCAATAATTATAAGAGAGTTTTCAGACTTCATCATCCATCCTCTAGCCCATCTCATAAGCCACTCTATTTTGCATGGACAATTTTCCAAAGCACTCAAACTTGCAGTTGTAAGACCAATACTCAAAATGGGTGACCATACGAAATTTGATAATCAGAGGCCCATTTCTATGTATCCGAGTTTGTCTAAGAATATGAAAAGGCTGTTTTAGAGAGGCTCTGGGCATTTTCCGAAAAGAATAATATAATAAAATATCTGGTTTTACAATACCTTTACCAGTTCCTATTGTAAAACCAGATATTTTATATATTACAGTTCCGGGGCTACAACAATGAATTTTAATAATATAATATTCAAATATCAACATGGATTTGTCAAAAGCAAAAATACTACAACCTACAAGTGCAATTGTCCTTATTGAACCAAGTGGTGCAAGATTTGGATACAAAGCAACGCTCAACGGGTATTTTCTTTGATTTGAATAAGCCTTTTGACCTGGTTGACAATGACCTCCTACTAGCTAAATTAAACAAAATGGGAGTCCAAGGAGTTGCCTCTGAGTGTTTTTAGTCACTTTTAAAAGGCAGGAAACAATGTGTTGAAATACAATCTATAGATCACGCCGGGCTTCAAAGTATATTTAAGTCTTCAGAAACCCCTGTAACGAGAGGTGTGCCCCAGGGATCCGTTCTAGGCCCTGTGCTATTCCTCATCTTCATAAATGACATCCCCTCATGCATAACCCAAGGTAAACGTTGTCTTTTTGCAGATTATACTTCCCTAGCATTATCCAGCCCTTCCCTAAAATCACTCGAGCAAATGGCAATTATAGAGGCAAATACCTTGCTTCAGTGGTTTGATGATAACCTTCTGAAAACCAACACTGCTAATCAACTTTCGAGTCTCAAACCGGTCCAACAAAGATCCGAATATGTCACTTCTTCTTGATCAAACCTTTCATTAATCCTGTACAGAGTTTGTTAAATTCTTATGCGTCCACTTAGACGAATGTTTAAACTTCAAATCTCGTTGATTACGTGATAAAACGTGTAAGAACAGGCATTTTTGTACTACGAACAATGGCTACAACAGTCTCGTTGGAAGTTCTTCTTTCTTTTTACTACGGCGTAATATTCCCATATATATATATATTATGCTCTGCCTGTTTGGGGATATGAAAACAAGCGTACCTCCTTTCTTTTTAAAATGCAAAAAGGCTATTCGTGTTATATTTTTACTTTTCAGAAGACGATCTTGTAAGGAATCACTCAGGTCAGCTGCAATCTTGACTCTTCCCTCACTATATATCCTTGAGACCCTTTCTTTTGTAAAAAAAAACATCAGTCATTATTGAACACCAACGTTAACTCCAGCACACATTCCTTACGCACATCTGTCAACTTAAAAATTCCCGTCCACTCAACTTCATTTTTTCAACATCACCTTCTGTACAATGGAATTACACTTTTTTTAACCAACTTCCTCAACATCTAAAGCTGGAGACTGATCTGCTCAGGTTTAGAAGAAAACTTGAAAACATGTTTGTTGAAAATGCTTGCTACAGAGTCCGCGATTTTTCCACTGGCATTTAGTCAGCGATTTATGTTCTGTTAGATTTACTAGACTAGAAGGTCAAATTGTTTTAGTTAGTATAGAGTTTTTTTTATATTTTATATTTTGTACATTTCATTGTTAACTTGACTATTCCAATACAATGTAATTTTGTAATTCTGGAATAAAGAACTTATGACTTATCATGACTATGGGAAAATGTACTTAACCCTAGACATGAATGGGTGGCATGTCATAGTGCATCAGCATCTCACAGTGACAGTGCCTAAATCAAAATTACGATTAGACACTTTAGGATTATGTACTGTGAGACCCCATACTTATTTATGGCGGCCAAAGACCCTCAATCATTCAGTCATTCAGTGCTAAATAATGGGTGTTTACGTTATATGTATATAGGCTATGGTATCTGCCACGGTCCCCTTTAACGGGTCGCTGTCAATGCGCCACCACGTCAAACCGCCACCTCGGTGTTTTGGTCAGAGGCGTCAACCCGCCACCACAAAAAGACCGAGGTGGTGGGTTGACGTGTACGTACAGGTCAACCCGCCATCTCGACAACAGGCCACCACGACAACCCACCACCACACAATTTTCCGAGGTGGCGGGTTGTCGTACACACTCAAGTCAATGAGCCACCACGACAACATGCCACCACGACAACCCGCCAACACCAGTTTTTATCAGAGGTGGCGGGTTGTCGTGAAGCTCCATGTTCGATGTCGGCAACCCGCCACCTCGTACGACGGCAACAACGTGCCACCCCGTCAACCCGCCACCACTCTTTTACGAGGTGGCGGGTTGACGTGTACGCTCAGTGTTCGGTGCCGTCAACGCGCCACCTCGATCATATGCGACAACGTGCCACCTCGACAACCCACCACCTCGCGGTTTGATTTATCAATAAATAAATCGGTTGGATTTATATTCTGTAGCATTAAATATATTGTACTTTGATTCAGTTAATTCAGTTAAACCGGCGATAGTCAGGGATAGTCTTGTGCCATTTTATAATGGTGATTGCGAAAGCAAGACGCAAAGAAAATTTTATTCACTTGAATTCAAAAGGTAATTCGGGTGAAATTAGACCACGAATTCTAGAAGAGACCCGGTATGGATTATAAACATAAACAAAAGATGTTTTAAAAAATAATACAACACCCCATTGCTGTAACAATTGTGGTCCAAAAGTTATTTCAGCTTTTAAGATTTTGAACTATATACTATCACCGCTTTCCCATGATATAGGATGTTAACAAGCTTATGGGAGAAAGTATGTTTCAGAATGCTGATACCATATATTTTTACATTTATTTTGTCATTTCTAATGTGTGGGATTAAGTAATCGTCCGTGATATGAAATAAATTGAATCACGTATAACGCTTTCAATTTGCTGAAGGCCACTGGGGCAGAGCCCTGACGGAATTTCAAATGTGTTTTGTTTTATGGCAAATTTCAGGGCCGAACTTACCTAGGGGCGGACGGGGCGAGCGCCCGGGGCCCCCGGGCCTAGGGGGGCCCCGAAAGGGGCCCCTTGCACAGTAGTTTTTATTAATATCTTCGAAAATTAGTCAGACACTTACCGAATGGCCTTCTGTTTTAACAGCTTTATTGTCGTTATCCTATATTTAAGGTTATTGTTAGGTGAATTTTAAGGTATTACTAGAACCAAAATTCTTGACTCTAAGGGACTTTTCCTCAGGGTTGCACTGGGCCCCGCGCTTAGACCCAGTTTACACGAGCATAGCTGCTAGGCTGTGACGGACCAGTTTGAGTTTCAATGAAGCCGTTCACACAAACGTACGGCCGCGGCGATCGAGTTGAAGGGGGCCCCTTCGCTTGGGGCAAAAAATACAATAAATAATATGAAAACTCTTGTCCTAACGTAGAACGTAACTTGTACAATTGTGTTGGGTTAAATGGAGATTCAATGGATTTCTAATACTTTTGAAAAATAAAACATTGCTCTGTTTATGTTTTATAAGTTGTTATTCTTTTACCTCTAAGTATATGCCAATCACGATTTTAAGGGGCAGAAGTATTATATTAACCATTCAATTAAAAGGTTTTGTAAAATAGTAATTAAGTTATACGTCAAAATTTGGATCTTCAATTTAGTCGTTAGTCAAAATCATACAGCGCCAGTAGGCTAAAAAATCTATATAGACATTTTATGACAACTAGGGTCGTCTGATGTTGACAAAAAATACATTATTTGGGAGCGGGCGAGCGTTGTAGACTGAAATCGTAAAAAAGCAACAAGCAACTGCAACAATAAATGATAATGAGCTGATAAGGGATCCTGTCTAGTCC